TGGTGAAGAAGACTCACAATGGTGAAGAAGACTCACTTGGTGAAGAAGACTCACAATGGTGAAGAAGACTCACTTGGTGAAGAAGACTCACAGTGGTGAAGCAGACTCACTTGGTGAAGAAAACTCACTTGGTGAAGAAGACTCACTTGGTGAAGAAGACTCACAATGGTGAAGCAGACTCACATTGGTGAAGCAGACTCACTTGGTGAAGAAGACTGACAATGGTGAAGAAGACTCACTTGGTGAAGAAGACTCACAATGGTGAAGCAGACTCACATTGGTGAAGAAGACTCACTTGGTGAAGAAGACTTACAATGGTGAAGAAGACTCACAATGCTGAAGAAGATTCACTTGGTGAAGAAGACTCACAATGGTGAAGCAGACTCACTTGGTGAAGAAGACTCACATTGGTGAAGCAGACTCACTTGGTGAAGAAGACTCACAATGGTGAAGAAGACTCACAATGGTGAAGAAGACTCGCATTGGTGAAAGACAAACTTTTTATAAGACATCATTTTTAACATCTTTTCCTGTGAACAAACTGAGATGTTGGTATACGTAGTTACAGGTTTAATACAATTGCTTTTGACACTTTTTTAACTTTATTCTTTACCGTCAGATTCCTAATCAAGTAAGCAAGTGCGTTAAGATGTTTCATTCTATAAGCAGAGTCCTTTTCATGTCAATCATCAAGAAAGCCATCGATACTGTAACTGAGGTAACTGATAAAATATATTAACAATTTATAGTGATATTGAAAATGATGATGGCAATGATGTTGATGATGATGATGATGATGATGAATGTGGTAATGATGGTGCCGATGGTAATGGTGTTCATGTTGATGATAGTGAGGACTCAGGTAACTGATGAAATAATTATATTAACAACAGTGACGATGAAAATGATGACGGCAATGATGTTGGTGATGATGATGATGAATGTGGTAATGATGGTGCCGATGGTAATGGTGTTCATGTTGACGATTATGAGGACAGAGATTTGAACATCTTTTCCTCGGACCGGCAGATTTCGTATGACTGATATGGGCCTAGTGCTGTAACATGCTGCTAATTTGCATAAAAGTTGAAAATTAAAGTTTTTGGAGTGAAATCATTTTTAATCATTGAACTTGTTGTTTTAGATAATATATGTGAGTTTGTAATGGCTGGAGTAATATATATTAAATCCTTGACAAGAGCATTTGTTGAAGAAGTTTTGAAAATTTGCCATTATGAGGCCACCAAGGCCTCCAGTGATAAATACATGCGAAACTTTCTATTTTTGATTTCTCATAACTCCTTTGTTATTCAGTCAAATTTAACGAAATTCTCTGGAAATAGTTTTCACGTACTTTCTCGAATAAGATTGATAGTTTCTTTTAAAAAGGCCTCATTTCCTCTATCAGGAAAAAACCCCTGAATTATCAAAGTCCTGTATACCTTATTTTACTGAAGTTATGTGGATAACAGAGATTTTAAAACTTTCAAAATCTACAATCCCGGATGCACCAACCTTTCAAAGTTTATCTTCCCTCTGGATGAGTTTAGTCTCCAATGAGCAGAACCCCGAAGAGAAATTATTTTAACACTTCCGGTTGACGTCACCACTGTAGAATTTGAAATCCTAAAGTCCCTATTATCCACATGTGCTGTCAATCAGAGAATAACAATGGAAAGCCAATCAAGTGTTATGGAATGAACTTCTGTCCATTTATAAGGAGACCCAGACTAGATCAATTGGAGGATGTTAGACCGATGGGCGATTCAGTCTTGTTAGTTAAAATTAGCACCCGGACCCTGGGGTAATAAACGTAGGTTGTGTAAAACAACTTATTTAGCCTTTGTACAGCTGTTGTCCCTGTGGATATTGATAAAAGATAAAGAGATTAGTAAAATATGTATCGCAGTTTCCAATCCATTTTAACCAATTTTATTTTTGACAGAAATATTTGAGGAACACTGTCAGTTACAATAAACGGGAGGAACTGGGAAGGTGGCTCATGGAGATTAAGGTTTGTGAAAAAGTCTGGTAGCAAAAGATTGATTTCAGGGCACAAAATTAACGCTCGCAAAAAGCGGCTGGAATTTCGTATTTAGCGAGTGACAAAAAAGCTAAGTTTTGACCACGATCCAGAAAATGAAGGACTGGAAAGTTTAGAACCAGCATCAAGTAACATTTGTTATTCACCGCATCCGACTACTAGTGAGTTTGAAATTTTTGCTGAGAACAGAACTTACTAGCAAGGGTTTAAAAGTTAATTTCGCGCCCTGGACGTTGAAAAGTCTCATCACTGCTGGACAACATCTGTTGAGCAATTCACGGGACGCAAAACTGCAACACCATAAAATCATACTTTGTTTTGCTGTAACCGTACCAATATTTTCATTGCTTCGCGCTGATCGAGACAAACGCTCACAACAGGTAAATGGGCAATAGACTACCGTTAATCAAATATTTCCCAACTTACAAATTTCTCGCACGCTGATTGGTTATTTTTTATCATCAATGAGAGGACAGACAAATAAGCTGACGTCAACAAGTGGGTGCTCTTTCCTTCTTAAATAAGTACTGACTATTTCCCACTCATGTGGTCGAACGTGGACTACCAGGTGGGGATGCAACCAAAAATATGGGGGGGGGGGGGGGGGAATTAACTGAATTCTGAATTTTGTTAATGATACTACAGAACTTGGGGAAAATATTCAAATTATTCTTCCTATTTATAGCTGAAGGTGGCAGGCTACAGCCCCTCTTTGCCCCTCTCTGGACCCGCCCCAGATTAGCAACTGCATCCCATGTATTTTTGTTAATTGTATTTTTCTTTTTCCACTTCAGGCAATCTTTATCTCAGTGCATGAAATTCTAGAGTGGTCGGTAATATTTAAGGAAATCCTACAAGGGCCACTCAAGCGAAAACATCAAATTATAACGTAAGAATTGTATAAGCTGAATAGCAAGTTTTGTATTGAAATGGGAGGGCAGTGTTTGCTCTTCATTGAAGGCTTGTAATGAGATTTATGAGATTCATTCAGCTGATTGATACCAATCGTTAGTGGTTTGAGTTTGTCTTGTATTTCATGTTGACCAGTGAGCTCACATGTTAAAAACAAAAAAAGCCTTTGACTATTATAAAGGCATAACGTTTATTACAGTTTTGATTTGATAACAGAGTAACATACTTTATACCATAAAATCCCCGTTATAACCTTTGGGTTTATACTCATTTGTAATGGAGTTTTGCTCGGGCTTATAAATGGGGGAGGGTGCTTATAACCCAAAGAAATAGGAATAATAATAAAGTTTAGGATGTACAAGTTATTTGTTTTACTTGTGTTCTAATTCAATCTCTTTGTGTCATAAATGCAAATTCCAGAACTGGGCTTATAACTTAATAGGATATTTTGGTGAGCAAGCCGTTCTGAAGAATAGAACAAAACGTTTACTGGTTTTTTTTCTTCTTAGGACTCTTCAATTCTGGAAGCCATGTCTGTACTAACATACTGTAAATATGTCGCCTATCAAGTTTCATACTTTGGATTTTTAAAGGTAATTGCTTGGCAACTGTGCCTTTAGTTCCAAGGAGTTCTACACTAAAGACATGTCTGGTGTTACCATCTTGTTCACTGACGATAGAAATCCATTGAGGCGACAGGCCGTAGTGACTAATACCCATGTCTTGTCTTGTCATGATTCGTGGAATGACAAACCACAGTGATTTTATATAAAGGCAAGGCTGGAAAGGATATCATTTGGAAAACAGATAGTTTTTTGGCTCGTTCTAGTTAACAGTAAGTTAAAAGTAAACCTCTTGGCAGGTAATCTAACCAAGGGTGTGCCACAAGGTTCTAATCTTGGACCACATTCAAGATAGTTTTTTAAGATCCTAGTCAGGGTTTTTCATTATGTCCCAATCTTGCTGTCTGATGAAGTAGGACTCAGGGTACGTAATCCATCAAAGGCTTGCCCTGGTTTTCATCTTTCGAGGCATTAGAAATTATGGCAACCAGCAATAATTCTTCTGGATGGATGTGTTTGATTTGTTGAACCATTCAGTTTGTTTATAATTATGGTGTTCCTCAAGTTCTGCAAGTGGGTTGATTTTTTAAACTGTACACCGGGCATAATGTTATAGACGAAAAAATTGGATTACTGAGGTACTAATTCCAAGATCCCAATGCGTCATCGTCAAGCAAAACATGTGGTGTACCCCACAGCCCAACATTGAATTGCTGACGAAATCCGAGACGAACTTTTTACATTAGAGGGCTTTTCATATTTCTGTGACCTCCACAACTTCCAGACGTCTTAGTTTGGCTTCTGTCAATCAAAAATATGCTAATTCAGACCATTGGATATATGATGGATGGAAGTCAAAATGCGAGAAAATGGGCCGCATCTGGAGTCGCAGAAACATAAAAAGCTATATTAAATAGTTAGTGTGGCATGGCAGTCTGTTGTTGTTGCAGATGAGGTGTCTTTCTTTGTTAAAAACAACTAGGCCTTGAACGACATGCCTAGAAACGTTCATCTTTTTCTATTCATTATAACAATGAGCGATAGATGAACAATGACATAAGAAAATAGTTATATTTTATATAATAATATTAGAATATAAAAATGAAACAAGTTACATTTAGTGAGCCCTTTGGGGCAATAACAATAAAGAAAATTATTATTCACATTGTCTGAGGTAAATAACCCACCAAATAAATAAGGACACTTAAAGACTTGGTTAAAAAGTTTGAAACTATACTGGTTTTTCAATGAAGGAAACTAATATAGTATAATGTCAGTAAATTTCCAATTTTTTTTGTACAAAGTTTTTAAGTTTCCTTCTTATTCACTTGTTATATTAGCCATTCCGAAGTCAAGGGAAAAACTGGGTCGAGTTGGCATTGCAGTGCATTGTGGGTCGATTTTACAGAATGAAGCATACACCATCTTGACAAAAGCCAAAAAATGCACTGCAATGCAAACTTGACCCAGTTTTTTCCTCATTCTCAGAATGGTTAATGGGACACACCCAAAAGGCGACTTGAAGAAATATATTTTAAGTAGATATTTAAAGTAGATTTTTGCAATTAACTTGCCAAGAAGAAAAAAAATATGGTATTTTTTTAGCTATGATGTGAAGACCTACGAAGTATTTAGTCTTGTTTCGCCGACTTCATAACCTCAAAGCAACGACTTCTTATCGAAAAATATCAAGTATTTTCCAACTTCATTCTTGAAAAATGCATTTTTCTTGCAAGAAATATACTTCTAATAGATACCTTATTAGATTTTTGCTGCATTCGCCAGGAATAAAAGAAAAATATTGGCATGTTTTGAGGTCATGCAGCAAAAATCTACTTTAAATATCTACTAAGAATATATTTCTTGCAAGAAAGAAGATTTTTATCGCTATTTAGTGCACTAACTTACCTTTTATGACCAAAAAAAACACCTGAATCCGCCATATTTTTTTACATTCTCGCATAGCTAAAATCCTGTAGAATGCCAGCCACAATGGCCGATTTGATCACGTGACCTCTTAGTGCAGGTCGCCTATTTAGTCCCAACTATTACTTGCTAGTCATTAGAGTGCAAACAATCCGTAAAACACTAATTATTAAATAGTACAAAATAATGAATTTGCATGAAATTGTGCTATTTAGTATTACTAAAGTTTCACGGTTATATTGTTTGCACTCTAGAGTGCTTTTAGTCTCACTGTTGAATAGGTGACGTCAACTAAATTAGATAAGTTAATTACTATTTTAGCTGACGTCACCTAAATTCGAAACTACGAGTAAACAGCTACTGAGATCAGGGGGAGAAACGATGATACAAATGAATGTCTATTCACTCATTCTCTGGTAAAACAACCCCCCGGATTAGCATGACCGTTATTTTGCGCGCTTTTACTATTTTAGATGACGTCAACTAAATAGTTATCTAAGTTAGATAAATGTATCTAACTATTCAACAGTGAGACTAAAAGCACTGTAGAATGCTAACACTAAAAGTGTGCAACATAAATATCACTAAATAGTGCTATTTTATGCTAATTCTATTTTCTTTTGCTTAATCAGTGCTATTTACTGCTAAATAGTGATAACTATATTGCACACATTGCACACAGTGTTTGTACTCTATCAACACACCAAATGCTTTCATATAAGTATCACAAGATTTCTCAACAGCGATTGCAGAGCATTTTATGAAGTATTTAATGCAGGAAGTTCTTATAAGAAACCATTGCAAACATTTTAATCAGTAACACTGACAGTTTTGATACAGAGGCAATCACACTCGTTGAATTTGTATTAACGTAACATTAAAAAATTTAACATTTTAAAACTTATTACATATAGTTTCATATTTTTTGATATTTTTCTTTTTCTTTTCTGGTTAATGTTGACTATTGCTCTTCTATGTACAACTGCAAATTCAAAGCATCTCGGCAAGGGTAAAATGTGGATACAAGAATGAAATGTGGATCTATTGAAATGTGAACGAAGACTTAACTTGCGCATAAACAGTTAATCACAGAATGCAGAGTCAACTAAAACAATGCATCTCGGTATTTCGATGATCTCACCATCCAGTAGTTGTGGTTGATCTGTCCGTTAGAATCTGTCAGAAGTGCTTTCTACTGCAAACCGTTTGACCATCATCTATCCAGGCATTTCAATGATCTCACAATCAGATGAATCCTCGTCACTAGCAGTAACAGTTTTCACTTGTCTTGGTTTAACAATCCTGATCGTACTCTCTACTGCAAACCCTTGTTTGACCAACTCCTCATTAATATTCACCTCATTTGTCTGCGTGTCATATAGCTCTAGGTACATCGTATTATTACATGCTCTGTAAAATAACAGGGAAAAGGTATACGTTAACAAAGTGGCTCAGCTTTGTAAGAGAAAAACCTTTCCCAGCTCACCACCAGTTGGTGCGCAAAGCCATATACCACTAAGCACTACCAATTTACCCAAAGTATCCCATAATTCATTGCTACAAGAAATTGATTTCTCGTTACTTGAACCTTTTCTCTGAAGGCCGGTTTAGGCGGTACGATTTTCGCCTACAACTATCGTATACAACACGCTCGCGCCATCCTACAACTCGAGCCGTAGCGTGTAAATCAAGCCTACAACTCGCCTACGACAGACGCGAGCCTGTTGTATACGATAGTTGTAGGCGAAAATCGTACCGTCAAAACTGGCCTTTATGGTCACCACCAAAAAAGTAAATAACTTTGGATAGATTAAAGAACGGTACCGCATGAATTGGTAAGTATTGGCCCTATCACAAAAGAGGCAAAAAGAGTTTATAGATAACCATCATTTTTTCTTGTACAGAGAATAAAGGATCCTTCGTTCCGAGGTTGAGGACTAAGAAAACTGCGTGAGCATTACAGTTCATTGCAAAAATGTTTTAGAAGAAGAAATTGCCGCCTTGGAAATATGTCCCCCTAAACAGCCCCACAATGCACTGTTATGCCAACTCTACCCAGTTTTTATTCAACGTTGGAACGGCTTATAGGCGAGCTAATATGTTTACTTACATGGACAAGACATGCGCAATCAACAGCTTGTCCTGTGTTAATGATTCAAACACTTCGCTGCAACAATACGATATAATAAATTAGTTCGCTAGACATTCTGCAACTGTTTTACTCAAAGGAATTTCTTGGACCCTCCATTCTATCGAGCCCTGAAACAACCTCTGGGCTGATCAAAGTCAGGGCACGGCTAACTCACAGATCGAACCCTGAAACAACTTCTGGGCTGATCTAAGTCAGGGAATGGCTAACTCACAGACCGAACCCTGAAACAACATCTGTGCTGATCAAAGTCAAGACACTGCTAACTTACGATCAAATTCAGTGGAATTGAGTTTGTTGGGTTTTGCGGAGGGAGGAGACCCGCAAGAGAGAGACCCTAAAGTCTTTTCGCATGATGCCGAGTGTAGGAATCGAACCCTCCCCCTCCCCCCCAATTTGGGTCACTATGCAGGCTACCCTGGACCCCACCATTACACCATCTAGAACCCCGTTGTTATATGATAGGCAGACTAAAACGTGATTTTGTTTGATAACAATCTTACTTTGCCTCGGCTGACCATTCTCCATTTTCTTCTATTGTTTCCACATTTGCCAGAAAACATTCAACTGCTTGGAATGGAATGTGAAGGAACTGAGGGAGCATGCGCTTAACGTTTCGCTCCGCTGTCCATTCAGTATTGCCGTAGTCAACAAAATAAACCTGGAGTTTGAAAAACATTGTTGAATTAAAACAACGTAAGAACGAGGGAGAAAGATAATGGGTCTGTAACACTTGCTGTGGTACGCGAAAAGTAGTATATCGGGATGTTTTGCCGTTTTATGGAGTAACTTGCGGTAAATTCTTAGTTTCAATTTATCCTAAAAAGGAGATCCCGAAAAAAATTCGGGATGCGGTCGTAACCAGTTTAAATCTTAGATGGAAGAAAGGGAAAAAGGTCACTTAGACTAACAGGCCACGTGACCCTACCACCTTAAAACGAGCATTTATTGTGTCAAAATGAACTACAGAAATGGAAAGAGCACCTCGACATTAGCAAGGAGGAAATATTTCAGCTCACATTATTGACATTAGAAAAAATGGGGTTAACACTAAGTCGAGTATTTTTATGGAAGAACTGGTTGGACAGCAACAGTACATACGGCCTGTTATCAAAAAAAGTATAGAATTATTATCCGTGATCCGGCGTACCTGAAATTCTTCATCCCTGACGTCAGTCACTCGTGCCCGGTACCAAGCGTCGTTACTGGAGTACTGGGCTACGACAAGCTCACCCATGGCAGGAAGAATAGACGATGAATCGCGGAATAAGTTGCGTGAATAAAACTTGCTGTGAAAAAAGAATTCATTAATGATTAAATATATTTATATAATAACTGTTAGAAATCTCGCGTTCTGATTAGTAGAGAGTGCGTGCCTTATGAGAGCACAGCGCACTTTCAGTTGCGTCTATTCAAATTGACTGTTATTGTAAATTGCATTTCATATTAAAAAAATTGCTTGCTGTGCTGTGTGGAGTTATAAAGCACAAGGATTTAAACACTCTAGAAACATTTCGCTACGCGTCGTGCTTCTCCCAAAACTTCTCTCGTGTACTGCCAACCCCCGCGTGCTTTATAACTGCACACAGAATGCGTGTGTGTTTGCTATTTCTTTGTTAATATTCTTGTATCTATGTTATATTTGTAGGGTATTTCAGAAGTACGTGGGCGAAAATAACTAAAACTTTTAGCAATTCCAAGGTTGAGGAAAAACCTGGATTGAGATGGCATTGCAGTGCAGTGAGACTGCCAACTCGACCTATTTTTTTACGACCTCGGGATGGCCGATGTTGCTGTTTGCAATTAACTGAAAAAAATATATCATCAAGTACTTCATTTTTTCTGCCATTGTTTCAAAATCTTCATCTTCATCCTCATCTTTCTCCTTCCCGTCGTCCATATTGAGCCCCAGACGTGCTACAGTTATCAAAATAATAAGCAAAAACCATTAGTCGGAAGACATATTTTTATTAGCGATAATACGGGGAACAAAATCGCGCAAGATTGTCGCCCGAAATTGTTGCGTTGCATGATGCAAAACATATGTTGCTCGTATTAGAATGCATTCCATATACCCGTGGAAATGTTAACTAACTAAATTGTACAAATTAGAGCAAAAGTTTTGAAGGCCTACTGAATTTACTAGATCTTACTAGAGTACAAACACTACAAGTGTGCAACATAAATACCACTAAATACTGCTAAATTATGCTAATCCTATTGTTTTCTATCGTTTAATTAGCACTATTTACTACTAAATAGTACAAAGTGTTGCACACTTTTAGTGTTTGTACTCTAATTTGTGCAAATTTGTGCAATTTCTTACAAAGTTTTTCACGGTATATATGCACTCTACCACTCCGCGCGTAACAAATTCGCATTGTTGCAAAGAGTAGAGAATGTTTATACTTTGCGCAATAATGATAGTTTTTGGCGTGCAGAATGATAATACGAGCAATATTTACTTCGAAAATAAATATCCGTCCATTTTTGACGCAATTTTTTCACCATTTTCCCTCCTTTTATGGCTTTCCTATGGTAATGAAATCGAGGGCCTGTAACAGTCACCCCCACCCACCCACCCCTTTTAAAAATCCTGGATCTACACTTGATAGGATGGGAAGTCTGTGGCGTGTTGGCCCAACAAGCTGATCTGAGGAAGAAATACTAGCCAATCAGAATCGAGATAATTTGCAAAACTGAGATGCCAATTTTCCTCTTAAAATGAAACTAAAAATAACGTTGCTAATGCCCGCATGATAACAGTGAGAAATAATTCATGAGTTTTGTATTTTTGTTCCAATGGCGGACATGTTTTTATTTTTCGCTGGTCAATTTTCGCAGGTTTCATGACACGTCACTATTTCAGATCAGCTGGAAACTCCACAGCCTCCCAATAATGCTTAAATATAAAACACCATAAAAAGCACTATACCTTCCATGATTCGTTTCTCGATGGGTCCTGATCCACATGGAAACTGAACCCAGAAATGTCCTGGGTTAAGCACAGCTGTGACACGTACCCCGACCCACGAACCCAGCCCGGGTAGATCTACTGTGAAGTCACTGTTTTCACAAAACGCTTGGACCATCATGGATGCGTCTTCGCCTGTATGTGAAAACCAAACCATTTAGAAAATAACTTCAAAAATATATCTCATTCCGAGGTTGACGGAAGAAACTGGGTGGAGTTGGCATTGCAATGCAGTGTGGGGCTTTTTTAGGATAAATATTTCCAAGATGATGATGATAATGATTTATGATTTATATAGCGCCCTTTCTATATGAATATAATCAAAGGCGCTTTACATTGAGTTGTTAATGACAGATTGCTTTAACGCAATTTTACAAGCATGAGAGATGGTTAGTATGAAATGTAGGCACTGAGGGTGGTCACTGCCAGGGTTTCTTTATGTCCTCAGTGGTTCTTTTACGTCCCTCCGATGTTGGTTAGTAATGATGAGGGGAAGAGAGACGGGGCCGCTATTTAAAGTGGTCATCCGAGCCACTTGAAAGTCTAACAATTTGCAGATGTAATTACAAAGGCAGCACAAGCAGCAGTTAGGCGGACTCGCGAATTGCCGGCATTGCCAAAAATCACAAGTCGAAAAACACCAGGGGGGGGTGGGTTTTTGGAGGTCGGTAACCCGCGGAACAGGGGGTCTTGCGCGATCTGCCGGCAGCGCGAAAGGTGCCTAACTGCTGCTCTGTTGGGTACTGCAAACGGAGGTAAAAATATCTTATAAATATACGATGCATGAATGTAAGAAGTTCGTTAACGACTTTTGCATTAGAAGAGTGTATGGATTGTCCGCGCCTCGACAACCATGTTTCGACTACCTTTTTTGGCGTGTTCCAAAAGAGTGTATGCGTGTTCCAAAAGAGTGTATGCGTGTTCCAAAAGATGTGTATTGCTACCCCAAAAGATGTCTATAGAAGGGAGGCGATTCACCGCCCTTCCAACTTGCACCCAAAAATAGTAGAGTGTACAGAATCCCATTTTCCCGGCAACCACTTTCGGCTACCTCTTTTTGCGTCCCCGAAGATGTGCA